CGTAGCTGAACTATGAGCCTACACAAAAAGTTTCATTATTTACCATGACAAAGTTTGAGGGGTGCTATTAGTTGATGATAACAATAGAACGCAATAAAACACAATGAATTATTATAGAAATTATATTGAGTTTAAGTGGAGAATGTGAAGAGCTTCGTCAGAGATTCGAACTCTGGACCCCTGGTTTACTAGACCAGTGCTCTAACCACTGAGCTAAGGAGGCACCCACAAAAAACATGCATGCGCAAATTGAAATGTAAACAAATGTTTCAAAAAACGTATTTAAGTCTTTTACTCACCCTCAACATACACAGTTAAAAAAATTAAGCCGTATCAGAGAATTGAACTCCGGACCCATGGTTTACGAGACAAGTGCTCTAACCACTGAGCTAATAAGGCAAACACGCAACACATTTCAAAAAGATAAAATGAATTACTGGCGAAAAAGAGTTATTCCTGCCAAGCTAAACCTTAAAAGGGAAAATATTAGTTTTAAAGTTTGGTGGATCAATTCAGTAGATTTCAGAAAGGGCATGAGATTATCCTGTAGACGATGGTAATGGTAATCATACCGTGATATGGTAGTTGAAAATGTTACAGTGTTATTTTGAGCCCTTTACAAATTATTCTTGAGTTATAAAAAATGTGATACGCAATTAAAAAAAAAGTCGCACGAATTCATTTTCCTGATGTTCAGTACTTGCATGTATATGATGATTGACAAGGTCTTCCCGCATTGTTGACATGTTTACAACGTCTAAATTTATGCATACTACATCTCCTCCTTGCATGTATATTGATAGGATTGATACTGCATGTGAAAAGTTTTATCGGGAGATTGCAACTTGAGTTCAACACTGCTTTTTTCTTGAAAGAAAGAAACTCAATCGCCAAAAAATTTCAAGTTTTGAGTGCAAACAGGGCTTGCACGGGAATCGAACCCGTGAACTCCCGCACTCGAAGCGAGAATCATACCACTAGACCAGCAAGCCACACCTGGGGAAATGTTTCATTATCTTTTGGTAATTTAAAAAAATTCCGGTATATTACATGAAAAACTAAGCTGTAAGAGACTTCCGTTAATTCGTGCGGAAAACATCCCATTTTGCTGTTGAAAATTAGCTTATGAAGGAGAAATAATTTCTGAATAGAGATCGCTTTGACAAGAGGTAATTTCGTTCTAGCCCAATCACCATGTTTATTTACATGTTCAGTAACCGAATCAGAACGATTTCACATCAAGTATTAAAAATTTCATTTTAACTACTCTGACTGGTATTTTCTAAAAAATGCAAAAAAAATTATGTCGTATATTTTGAAACGAAATTCCACCTGGTGGCAAACAATTTCTCCGTGTGATATGAACATCTTTCGGAATAACAAGAGTCGTAGTCGGCAGGATTTGAACCTGCGCGGGAATTTCCCAACAGATTTCAAGTCTGTCGCCTTAACCACTCGGCCACGACTACATATATAATTGCCTCAAAAATCGCTTATTTTGCTTTACCACTGATAGCTTGGAACTTAACTGTTGATTTTACCACACATTTTACGTCGTGGGCACATTAATAGGTTCTCTGGAATTGGTATGCCTTCCCAACTGCTTTTCAATTGCCAGCCGAGTTTGGGAATTATAATAAGACTGAGAAAAAGTAAAGGATCTCGTGGAACTCGCGGTGACGGTTGGCGGAAGCTTTTATCATAGGAATTGATTATTGATAGAAATCAGGCAGTTCACAGAGCGTGTAAACAGATCATGCATCGGTGATTGAGCATTCAGCAGCATATCCGAGATAGGAAATCAACTGCAATCATGCAATGGCTACTAATTCCGATTTCGAGCATGAGCGGTTTTGGTCATGGACGTTAAGTTTTTATTTCAGTTATTCTTTAAGGTATCATTATTACACGTTTTTAATTTCAAATTAGAATTTTATTAAGATGAGCCTACAAGAGTTTTTATATTTACAATGCCCGAGTTTAAGGGTTAGGTAGTTACCTATATGAACAAGCATTGCTATTGGTTGATGATAACAATAGAAGATTTGCAAGTGGTTTGCAAGACCAGTGCTCTAACCACTGAGCTAAAGAGGCACCCGTGAAAAACATTCGTGGACACTGTTGATATAATTGCATTGATGCAAATTCTAGCGCACAATTTTTGTACGAGGTTGATACTTACATTAAGTTAAGATAGTGCATCTAATGTTTGAACGGGAACAAGTACCACATTTTTTTCTGAAGAAAATACAACATAATTATAGACCATCAGCAAATTGTTGCTAAGGGCTGTTCTCTTTCAATGGAGAGGGGCAAACAGGGCTCGCACGGGAATCGAACCCGTGACCTTTCGCACCTAAAGCGAGAATCATACTATTAGACCAGCAAGCCAAGTGCAGGACACGGGAAGTGTTCTTTTTCATATTTCATCGCTCACAATAAAGACGATGTATAGCATGCATGGAAAAATATAAAAATCTTTTCATGTCATTTTTATTTCAAGCCAAGTTACTCTGATTGAAAAAAGACTTGTGGGAATTTTAAATAACTATAGTTACCCAGACCAGACAAACGCAATGGTAGAAAATAGACGATTATTGTTAATATTTTCGCCGTTGATTCATTTTTCCTTTTTCAAAAGAATTACGGGTTTGCCTTATTAGCTCAGTGGTTAGAGCACTGGTCTCGTAAACCAGGGGTCCTGAGTTCAACTCTCTGATAAGGCTTAATTTTTTTAACTGTGTATGGTGAGGGTGAGTAAAAGACTAAAATACGTTTTTTGAAACATGTGTTTACATTTCAATTTGCGCATGCATGTTTTTTCTGGGTGTCTCCTTAGCTCAGTGGTTAGAGCACTGGTCTAGTAAACCAGGGGTCCAGAGCCCGAAAATGTGACGGGGCGTTCTACATCTTTCACTTAAACTAAGTATCTAGGAACATGAACGAGTTGTTTGACCGGATTCTTGTATATGTAAAACGATACTGAACAATGTTTGTGACTTGTTCTTTATAAATCAATATCTATAATAATTCATTGTGTTTTATTGTGTTCTATTGTTACCATCAACCAATAGCAAAGCTCGTTCATATAGGTACCTACCCGTCAATCTTGGGCATGGTAAATAATGAAACTTCTTGTGTAGCCTCATAGTTCAGCTACGCGGTAAAAATGTTTAGAACTGAATGAAACCAATTCCGTTGTTCTAGATTCTAGGGTTAAAACCTAGATTGTTATCGTGTTTACAATAATCGTCTATTTTCTACCATTGCGTTTGTCTGCATGGTCTGGGTAACTATAGTGATTTAAGATTCCTACAAGTCCTTTTTCACTCAGAGTATAGCTTGGCTTGTTGTAATAAATATGACATGAAAAGATTTTTATATTTTCCCATGCATGCTATACATCGTCTTTATTGTGAGCGATGAAATATGCGAAAAAGAACACTTCCCGTGTTTTGCACTTGGCTTGCTGGTCTAGTGGTATGATTCTCGCTTAGGGTGCGAGAGGTCACGGGTTCGTGCAAGCCCTGTTCGCCCCTCACGCTTGAAAGGGAACAGCCTTTGCAACAATTTGCTGATGGTCTATAATTATGTTGTATTTTCTTCAGAAAAAAATGTGGTATGTGTTCTCGTTCAAACATTAGATGCACGCTCTCAACTTAGGGCCTGTTTACATGGAGCCGAGTTACCCGGGTAAACGAGTTACTCGCCTTGCAGGGACAAAACGGTACTGTGTTTATATGGAACCGGGTAACTCGGTATTTGTTACGGTACATTGTAATTACACGACGTACTTACTATGTAGGGTGCGAAATTTCAAAAAGTTTTTTACAATGGTGGTAAATGAAAGGTAAACGCGAATGCGTGTTTGGCGAATATTCCACTCGACTAGCCGAGTTTCCCGTTGCAAAGTGTTTATATGGTATAACCGAGTAACTCGCCTTGCCGAGAACCCGGCACCGTTTGCCGAGAACTCGGCACGCCGAGTTACTCGGATGCGCCATATAAACAGTCAACCGAGATATGCATACAATATATAGAACAAGCGAGAACTCGGTGCTGCCGAGTAACTCGGTTAGCCGGGTAACTCGGCTCCATGTAAACAGGCCCTTAATGTAAGTATCAACCTCATACAAAAATTGTGCGCTAGGATTTCGCATTAATGTAATTATAACAACATGCAGTGTCCACGAATGTTTTTCACGGGTGCCTCTTTAGCTCAGTGGTTAGAGCACTGGTCTTGTAAACCAGGGGTCCAGAGTTCGAATTCTGACGGGGCTCTTCACATTTTCCACTTAAAATTAATAAGTATCTACGAACATGAACGAGTTTTTTGACCGGTTTCTTGTATATGTATAACCACAGTTAATAGAATATACATGGTTTGGAGAATAAATAAAAGTACAATACAACTCATTAACTATGTTATTGTCCACGTTTATGCCAAAAATGGTTCCTTTCTCGTCACGTGTGACGTGTCTATTGTATTGTAGCTAAACGTACCAATGGCATTCGTCTTGCTAAGCTCCTCAACCTTGACTTCAAAAATATTTTAATTATAAGATTGCTATTGGTTTATCTGTGCAAAATACAATAGACATGTGATGAGAAAGGAACAAGTTTTGCATAAATGTACCTCAACATAGTTAATCAGTTGTATTGTACACTGTAAATCTCGGAGTGTTGGCACAACACCGAAATCGGTGTAAAATCTTGCAGCAATATGAACACTAATATGGTGTTTATTTACGCTATATTTTGGGTTAATTTACACTATTCATGGGTAAAGTTTATGCAGCTATGTGTACACTATGGCGACGTAAATATACACCATTAACGTAAACTAACACCTCTATAGGTTTTCCTACACCTATTTTGCGTAAAAACGCTTGCAGCAATATGAACACCAACTTCGTGTATAAATACACCGCGAGAGTAAACTTACCCCTCCCAAGGTTTTTCTACGCCTATTTAGTGTAAACGTGCTTGCAGTTCAACCATGCGCTTTCAGCATTCCCATATGGTGTTTGTGACATCAAGAACAAACCAAGCTTGGTAAAGAATGTCAATCTTAGTGATTACCATTTACGCCAATCAGGTATTTAACTATTTATTTAAGAGTTGCCTTAAACCTGAGGATGACTACATCAACCACAGGTCCCAAGTTCCCATAGTTCTTTTAAAAGTTCTTATAGAATCAGTGTTTAGTCAGTGTTTTAACATTATGCTAGCACTAATTGAGTTATATTTCAGCATCACAAATGTGGTGTCTTTCTAGAATCCTGCCATTTTTGGTTCACAAATGGATACCAGAAGGAAATGATGACTGGGAATTGTTCACTGATTTAATGCATATTGTTGATATATTGTTTGCCCCAGTGATTGAGAAAGGTACTACACTCTATCTTCGGCTCATAATCAGCGAGTATCTGGAACAGTTTAAAAGGCTCTATCCTGAAAGGAAACTTATTCCAAAACAGCATTTCATGGTTCATTACCCAAACCAAATTCTAAGGTATGTCTATTGATCTGGTTCTCACAGGTGGTGGCTTCAATGCTGAACACCTCAGTACATTTGATAATTTTAATTATTTATTTTATATATTTTAGATATGGACCCCTTGTGCGCAACTGGTGCATGCGCTTTGAGGCTAAGCATCATTATTTTAAGCTTTTGGCGCAGACTGTAGGTTGCTTCAAGAATATAGCAAAGACATTAGCTACCAGGCACCAACGGCTTCAGTGTTACTGGCTTAGTGACAGTGATGGCTATTTAAGGAGTGATACTGAGGTTGGACCAGGTTAGTGAACAACAAAAGTGCATACTGGATATTAGCTGGAATTTTGTAATGGTTTTTAGGATGTTAAATGTTGTTATAAGTATCCTTTATTTCTACTTCATGTATTTATTAATATTCTGCTTAGGTAAAGTTTTTTATGTGAAGGATCTGGAAGAGAAAGAATGCACCTCACTGTGCCAGTTGGGCAACAATTTGGATCAGAATTCAACTGTGACACTGTAAGTTTGTTCTTATATATGGTAAAAATTATTTAAAACTGGACTGAAAAGTGAAAACTATATTCACATTCTAGGTTGAATTGGGTGAAAGTCAATGGATACAAGTATAAAAAGAATATGATCATAGTCTATCAGCAATTAATTTTTCCTGTGTTTCTTTTTATACATAATGTTTTTTTTATGCCAAACATGGATGTTATGTTTTCTTGCAAGAAAGTAAATACAGTTGCTTTTAGCAGGCACATTCATTGCTATGAGGTTGAAGTTTTGGAAGAATTTGTGCCCTTATTATTTTCTGGGATGCTAGATCATCATCCTCTAGATCTTTATACCATCGTTGTAAATAGAGAATCAAAACACTTTGTAAGAATGAAGTACGACCTATCTGATGCTGAACAATAGTATACATGTGTTAAAGAAATTATTAAACATAATAAAGAAATTCAGTAAATAAATGAATTGTCTGACTCATGATACTGTGCCTGCCTGGAAACATTTAACGAAAAAACTGCATGTGCATGCTTGCTTAGGAACATTTGACGAAAACACGTTTTCGTACCTGGTATACAAATTGTTGTGACCCAGGGTCTATTGGTCTCTTAGTATGTAGTCAATTCCCATTCTTTTGTATCTATACAACCATATATACTCTTTTATTTTGCAACAAATCAAGCATTTTCCGTCGCGGTCTTAATTTATAAGGCATTGAATTTTGTACACAATTTAGATGTAAGTTTACGCTCTTCAAGTGCAATTTTGAAAACTCATATCGGGTAAATATACACCGTAGACGGTAAATTTACAACGCTCTCGGTGTTTAATAACCTTGTTTTTACTTACACCAGATCACGGTACATTCACGTTTTTTTGGTGTATTAATACAAAAACCAAAGTGTAGATATACACTTATCGAGTGTAAGCATATCTTACACTAAATAGGTGTATACTAACGCAACCGTTCAGTGTAATATAACCTGAGCAGTAGGTAAATGTATGCCATTTTTAGGTAAAAAAACACCAAATTTGGTGTAACCTAGGTTTGTTTGTTTTTACACCGAGAAAGTGTTACAGAAACGCTAGCATAGTGTAGAATTACGCTTTTTAAGTGTATTGCTACACTCCAATGGTGTTTGACTTGGCAAAACACCTAATCGGTGTTATCCTACACCAGTTTCGTGTTGGCGTAACACTGCGAAATTTACAGTGTAGTTTTATGTGGTCTCCAAACCATGCATGTATATTCTATTAACTGTGTTATCATCAACCAATAGGAAAGCTTGTTCATATAGGTAACGTAGCTACCCCTTAAACTTGGGCATGGTAAATAATGAAACTTCTTGTGTAGGCTCATCTTATATAAATTCTAATTTGAAATAAAAAAGCGTGTAAGGTATGATACCTTATAGAATAACTGCGAAATAACAATTTAACGTCGATGACCAAAACCGCTCAGGCTCGAAATCTGTGGGCCCAATGGTGAAGGTGATCGTCGTTATTACATCGCGAACCCATAAATATCGTGCCAAATGTCGATTTTTTACTTTGTAAAAGGCGTTATTTGGAAGGTGACATATTGAAGGGTATTCAGTCTTTGCAAAATATTAAAAACTACGTTGACATTTAGAGCAAAACGTGACAATATTTTTATGTTAACGGAGGTTAAGAGAATTTGAACTGTGAAATTAATTGCGAATTTTGAATCATTCTAATGAGTCAACCAAATGAAATACCATTTTCCTGAAATTTTATTTTGTGACCTCTGAAATCAGACTTTACTTCATTGACCGCAAACAATCGCACCGCAACTTTAGCTTCACCTGGGCCACATATAACTAGCCTATGGTTAGATAATACTCAAGGGTTTCTAAACCTGTGATATTTTTGCGTCAACACAAATGGTTGATATTAGTTTAAAGCTACGAATATAAGGTACAGTTATGTGCGTTTTAGACAAGAACATAAATCATCATAACTGATTGAGGTCGTCAATTTATGTACAATCCTTCGAAAAAAGGTTTAATAAAAATAAAAGTGTCGTAATTTGCCACAAGTTCTGCTGGTCTAGTGGTGAGGCAATGCTCTCCCGGCTTCCAAGCTGGGGGTTCGAATCCTACCGTAAGCCCTTTTATTGTGAACCTTGTGAAAAGGATAAACTCAATTAAATAACCATAGCCGTTCAGCACAAGATCTTGTAGTCGAGCCACTAGACTCGAGTGGCGAAGACAGTTGTCTCCCAAGTGGTAAATCAATGGTTCGAATCTCACCATAGCCGTTTTTCGTTATGAGCTTCGTAAACAGTATAAAGTAAATTGAATAACCATAGCCGTTCCCAAAAGATCTCGCAGTCTAGTGGCTAAGACAATTGTCTCTCAAGAGGTAAATCGAAGGTTCGAACTCTACCATAACCTTTTTTCATTATGAACTTCGTGAAAAGAATAAAGTAAATTAAATAACGCTTACCGTTTAGCAGATGATCTTGCATTCCAGTGGGCAAGTTGTTGGTCTTATGTGTCGACAGTCGAAGGTTCGAATCTCGATTCAGGTGGAAATTTTCGTTATTAATATTATATGGTTAGGGTATGGAGAATAAGTTAGTGTAGGATTCCAACAATCGCCAGTTAGCCTTGTGGTAAAGTCGTGGACTACCAAGTACAAGATCGAGGTATCAAAGACAGGATGGTACGTTTCTCACGGAGTAAAAGAAAAAATGTTGTAGGTATGTTGCTTAGAGGCGGTTTATACTCGGTTAATCTTTGGAAATCAAAGTTAATCTTAAGGGAAATCAGGGGATAGGTAGGGTGAATGAGGGGTATATGAATACAAAACGATTTAGTAATTGGGTGGATTCGGCTCCCGGGGCAACGGTATAGGTGAGAAAAAAACATATAAAAAGGTCAAGTCATTTTGTACTTATTTAAACCTCTTTACCCCTATTTATCCTCCTATTTACTCCTATCTATCCCTACTTTCTTCTATCCTCAGATATCGCTAACTATCCCTTAAGACAATTAAATGTTTGAAGAAAGCTTGCTTTGAAAGTCAGGAAAGGCGGGGGAAAGACAACCCCCCTCAGTCTACTCCTCGCCCAAGATGAGGGCATATAATCGCCCTCTCGCTCCACTCCTCAAATTTTCTCAAATCTCACACACTGTATATCTTATTCGTAGCTTATATCACTTATAAAATATCACATCTTTCCAGAAGTTGGTTATATGCAGCCCAAGTGACGCTAATGGTTACGGTGCGATTGTTTTGTATTTTTAATGAAGTGAAGTCAAAGTAAAGTACAAGAATTAACAATGTATTTCAAAATAGGTTTAAAAGGAAAAAATTACGACAATTAAGAATGTATTTCAATGTGTATAACGCGTATAGTCATGAGGCAACAGGGCGCGTTGACACGTCGCAGTTTGCACAGGATTGAAGATTTAATAATTTATAACTATACACGCGAATTCCAAAGGCAAAGTATAAGAAAAAGTGAACGTATCATGCGGTTTTATTTACATTTTTGAACAATTGAAGTTCTATACTTTTTAAAGTACGATGTGCTTCTGAATTTCGCGATCGAACAACATTTAGGTTCGCAAGGCATCTAAATGAGTATGAACTGTATTGTTTATGTCCAGGCGCTTTATATCGAAGACTGGCACGTGCGCGGCACGCCGGAGTTAACGCCAGAACGGGCGTCTTGTTTAAATGTGATTTATAAATACCTCAAAACAGATTTTAACTTTTATTGAAAATTCTATTATTTTCCATTTAAAAAAGCAAGGAGATAAGGCATAGAATACAGGCATATTTGAAATGCACATCCTTGCTTTTTGTTCGGAAACATTATAAACCGTTATCTTTAAACAAGTTTTGTTAACACAACGTTATAATATATTTATCTCCCTAATCGTGGAGTATTTTATCCACTGTCTTTTGGCTATAATAAATACAATCATTTATGCCAACCCCATCATACCAAGATCCAGAAACTGACAGTGGCAGGTCATGTCGCGCGATATATTGCCTAATAGATTGAAGCAGGTCATAGTGGCCAACATTATATTGTGGTATACATTCTTGGTGTATAGAAACACATATTTTGCTGGGTTCCCCTTGAATACCAAGTGCGTTTTTCAAAGCGACAAGTGCTTCATTCTTTAAATGATCTTTGCTTGTTTCGTTGGGATTACCGAATTGTTCTTCAAAGTAGTTACCACCCATCATAACCTAAGAAGGGATTGTTTGGTCAATTTTTGTCATATAAATGCTAGGGTGCATGATTCGCCTCGCTAATCGTTATAGATAGAAAATGAGAGAAAGTGGAATTTGTTTTTTTGCACGGAAATTTCCGAAAATCAAATTGCACTGTTTTTACAGAAAATCTCACTGCTTTTACAAGAAATTTTACTGTTGTTACCTATTTTGGCTTCGTTTGCATTAACTGACCCGAAATCAACTATTCAAGGTCGAGAAACATTCTATGATCACACGTGCTTATATCAAGTATTATTTATCAAAGAGTATTATTTATTGCATATTTTTGGGGGTTCGGGTGCATATTCCCCCTGGAAATTCTGAATTGCTATTTTCTGAACTTTGGGGGGATATAACTGAGTTCTTTATATATATGCTCTATGCTCTATATATACTTACTGTTAAACGAGTCGATTTCGACGACTTCCTGTCTCCTTCTGAAAACGTACTTGAGTCAAAGATAACACCCAGCACTTTCTGTGATTCGCAAGAGGGATATAAATAACCAAACCCTTCCATTTCTAAAATTGACCCTTCAAATTCCAAGTTTACAACCGCAACAGTAACAGCCTTTATATTATGAAGAAAACCTGCTAAATCAGCATGCTTGTTTGGAAGGAGTTCGGCCAGTTTCTTGGAAGGAATGCAACTAATGAGATGATCCGCAGCAAATACTTTATCTCTTTGGTCGTCCTTGACTTGAATTTCTCTGTTTTCGTTTACATTTAATGACGTTAAGTGAATGTCTTTCAATAAACTGACGCCGGAGTCTATTAATCTATCTTCCAAAGCATTAACAAATGTGGTCAAACCTCTCTTGAAAGTCCACAAGCTCCATTTTTCTGCAGACGCTTTCGTGATAAGTGAGTTAACTTCTTTGGGTATTTCTGGACCTTTAAAATTTAATTATTTTTTTTAATTAAGGAAAAGACATCTAGGCAAAGATACCTCACAAAGATATACAATGTTTTTGTGCTAACGAATGTAGAGTATATTACATGTTTCGTAGCTGAAAATGCAGTACTTGACTTTAGTCCGCACTAAAGGCCATCAGTGCAAAGACCTCTAAAAATGTTCGGCTCGTTGTAACTTGCCATTCTCGTGCAAAGGCTTGACCGACTTGATTATTGACAATGAAAACTGTACAAGCATTTAAAAGATATAACTGCCCTCAATCGACTTGATTTGCGCATGCAGATGTGTCATTCAATGGCTATATTCGTTAATTATATTATATTGAAAAAGAGGTACAATCATATTACATTATGTTAACAAAGTTGCCAATTGCCAGCAATGTTCGAATGAGCGTAATTTTTCAACCGAACAAAATTCCTCATTCGTTAACCTTGTAGCTTTTTATTACTTAAATGCATGATAATACGTGTATTCCAACTTCTCTAAAAAGCTCGACCAATTAATGGTAAACAAACACAAGATTGATATCTAATGATTTCTCTCTTCTGTTTACGCAGTTTCATTTTCTGTTTATGTTTTAAGTTCCTGAATATCAGGAAGCTTACTCCCTACATTCCTGCCCTTGCGACTATGTATTCGTCAAGCTATAATAGCCTTATAGAAACAATGCTTGAGCTAGCTTGTGCACCTGTGTCGAATTACGCAGGGAGACTATATGGGAAAGGCAACTTTTGAAGATGGCCATTGTTGTAAACTTTCATATGTACGTTAGCGAAATATTTGTTCAGGAAGAATGGCCGATTCATGGAATAAAAAAGGTGCAAACGCAGCAACGCTTCATTATCGCATAATGCTTGGTTCTTTGGGATCATATCAGCAGTCAAGTATGATTTAACCAACCACACCTCTCTCCGAAAAAACTTTGACAGTGAATACTTAATAATAAAAAGAATTAAAACTTACTTTTGCCAAACAATAATCCTTTTACAATAGAACCAGATGTTTCTTCAAGATTGTACACCATAGGAAGGCACGACTTTATACTTAACTTTTTGATATCACCAGCAAATATACCACGGCACATTGGATCGATAATATAGTCAGCAACCTGATGAACAAAACAAGCGAAGCGTGAGTTTAGATTTCCTCTAATCCTGCAGGCATTACACGAATGAATATAGAATTTAGAAAAATCTTCAGTTACGTACTGTTTTACTGTTTATACAGAAAAGAGCACGAATGCGTGCATATATATATGGATTAATTGTTTAATAAAGCTTTCTAGGAGCCATGCTTCGATTCTACAGGGTGTATAAAAAAAATTCGAATCGAAATTTTGCGTGTAATAATGCAAACTATATTTGATAAATTGGGTTGATTTTTACACCATTGTTAAGTTCATTTATTTCTCATCAAATCACACGCTGTACGTGTAATTTAGTTGAAAAATGAAGAAGTACTGGTTCAACAAAAAAAGTTCATAAAAATCACCATTTTCCGCCGATGAGAATTGGGCGTTTGTTTTATTGAAAATTAGTTCCAAAGGGCTGTAAAATCTAATTATTACTGAAAACTAAAACGCAAATTTATCGAAAAAATTCTGCTTATTCAATGTTCAACGATAGAAGTTTGAAGAACACAATGCCTCCATTAAGCACGGAACAACAAACATTTATTGTAAAAACATTTTATGGTACATAACTCAATTTTGCTACATAAAAGTTTGTCGATTTAAATTAATTTGCATTTTCGTTTGTCTGGAGGTCTCATTTCGAATTCCCATCGGCGGAAAAATTTGATTTCGAGCAACAATTTTTAAAAGACGATAACTCGGCCAGTTTTGGTCGTGTCGATATAAGAACGGTATAATCGCAAACTAAATAAGCTAATCTTTGTTGCCATATAAAAATAATATCGTTTACTTTAGTATTTTATACACAGCAGCCTGTCAAAGTTGGATTCGAATTTTTTTTATACACACTGTATTTAGACATAAATGCATAAATATCCGTTACTCAATCTCTGGAAGAAACGCTTGAGATGGGTAAAAAATAAGTTGCATATACATGACTTGTGTTTGTTAAGGATTAATGTCACAACAAATAGTATTTGAGGGTTGTCCAATACTGTAGCAAGCATACCAATGGTAAATTTCGTGGATTTTTTATACGAATGGACTAGTCATTTTGCCTGTTGGTCAGGGAAATCTCCCTTCGTGCAAAGAAATTGTCTATTCGTACCACTGGTGGGACGGTTGGTAGGTGAACATTGTACATTCGTACCATTGGTATGCTAATTTACCATAACCGAAACTGACCACGTGCTTTTAGAGGTCAATGGTAAGTAGAAAATGCCTAGCACTGATCTTTGACCATACATTAACAATATATTAATGGGAAAGTGTCAATTTTTTGCTTACAGTAGAGCTTCAAATAAACAGTAGTCCTATACACGAGATTTTACCTTAATCTTTTTAAAGCTTAATAATAATGTGAAATTCGCCTACTCCTGCAAACAAGCTCAACATCTCTTTCTCCTATTAACTGAATTATACGAACACAAGGTGCATGGCACAAAAAATATCAAGCTGGGTTTTTTGTCGTCTTACTTGACGCTGCTGTCCTAAACGCCGGCACACGCCGGACGCGATCCGCCAACGCCGCGCGATTTTTACGAATTTTCGAGTTTACATATGTTATGATATTCTTGATAATCACTGAAGGGTAGCAATTTTGACATGTCTGGAGCCCATAGCTCTCGAAATTTTCTTCCAGAAAAAACTGAAAATTTGCGTTGCGCTGAATCGCATCCAGTTTGTGTGGACCCTAAATGCTCATAACGTAGCTAAGGTTTCTACTATATCCAACAATTCCTGTCATGTTTGCAAGTTCCGACTACAGCACTCATATCATCCTATATGACCACAGATTGATGTGATATAATGAGTGCATGCTCTAAGTTAAAAAATTCTTGCTCATGTCATATTATAAATCATAAATCTCCGACGCAATTTTCCCTTTTGTAAACGGACGTTGCCTTTTAAAACTCGTATTAATTATTTTAAAAAACTTCATATTTAATGACATTCTAATTAAAACTATATGTGACAATGTGCCAGTTTAAAGCTCGTATTCAAATCGAATTAAATGTTTTTTCCTAATGTTTAAAAGAGTACTTTGCGCGTCAAGTTAGAATTAAAAATTTAATTCAAGTTAAAATTAAAATCTAAAAAACCCCAGCAACCTTAGCATTTAGCGCAAAATCATGCATCTACTATTTCAGGTTCTTTTCTATGAAAAGGTGATTTAGACCATCCGCGTACCTGGGAACAACGATGACAGCGAACAGAAAATGAGCAAAAATATTGGGAATCTTGTCATACAATATTATTCTTAAAGTTCAACAGCAACATTTTGAATAATTCTTTATATCATGCTCAGCCTCATCCAATAATTGTATTATATCCGAAGTCATATGGCAACGACCATTTATAAAATATGACAACGACCATGTTAAAAACCATTGTTTCAAACTCCCGATTGAGTAAGATAAAATGGCGCAATTTTTGCCAGCGAATACAGATAATAAAAAGATATGGCATATCGCTTTTGGGGTAGATTGAACATGCTAAACACTTTTTCAACATTAAAGTTTGATATATGAAATAGTGATAATACCTCACTATCAAATCTTCGGCTAATGAAATCATGTATACTTTCATCATGCTCAAATTTCCTCTTCGGTACTAGCGTTTCCTTGAGAAGTATTCCTGGTAAGTTCTTTGAGAGAAGTGATTGTGACCTAAAAAGACCTCCAATGCCAGATGGAAGCTTGTGCATCCGGTTATGAGCATATATGTATCTATTCCTCGCAGATACGTGATCAGAAGAAACAGCAATTACATCGTTTTCCAGCCCAAGATCATATGCCTAGAAAAAAGTATTGAAGTAGTAAAGAAGTTTTATTTCTCTAAAAAAACTGCAGGGCCAATTTGGCCTCTCAATCAGTTGCTGAAATTGCAACAGTTAACCATGCAACAGTTAACCAGAGTGAACAGAAAAGGAGCAAAAATATTGGGAATCTTGTGATACAATATTGTTCCTAAAGTTCAACAGCAAAATAATGACACGTTTTTTATTCTGTTCAGCATTTCTTTAATTGTTTCTTGGTGACTATGGTATAAAAAAGTTTTGGTATAAAAAAATTTAAAAAGTCTAAAAGTTAGTTGCACATGTTTATTAGAATCAAAATATTTTACATTGCATACAAAGGAAAGGGTTAACCCTGACCAACCATTAAACTAATCTGTCTTATTTATTATAAATTTAGGCTTACTGAACTTAAAACTATTACCCAATTAGGTGACCTATTGGATGTTGTTTACTAAACACAAGGTGTTGCAAAAAAAGTCCTCCGCTAAACTTTGTGTTGGTAATGCAGCTATCCAGATGTGTGATAGCAAAATGCACACTTGTCCATGTTTAAATGATTCAATTAGTCTCATTTTAAATGTTTACAGATTTGAATGATCAACTTTATTAATTTAAAACTTCAAATTCACATGAATTGGTTAAAGTAATTATGAATTTGAACCTCACCCTTATATTAATTTTTTTCCTTCAATGCCCTTGAAGTTCACACATTACAGTACATATACTGCTTTGTTTCCAATGTTTCTAATGGCTTGTTTGTTTCAAACTGATGGGTGCTTCCTCAGTGGCATAGCCAGCCTGAAGATTTCCCCTGCTATATGGTAATTTCAAGTTGTTATATTTATTAACTTTTTTAGAAAATTATTGTTTAACAGTCAATGAACATGAAATTGACAGGCTGGCTGGGCCACTGTGGTTTCTCAAAACTTGTGAGGGGTAGATTCTAGTGTTTTTAAAATTGGCATGTTGGCAATCGGCCCAAAATTGTGCGAGAAATGTTTCAGTAATTCGTCAATATAATGTAATAATGTATAATTACATTATACAATAATGTAATAATTATACATTATTAATTATACATTATTACATTATATTGATAATTTACAGAAAAATTTCTCATGCAATTTTGGGCTGCCTATATGGTATCTAGCAAAATAATTTAGAGGGTATACAATGAGGGTCAAGTTAAAAATACTACCAAATTATGATAGTTTATGATCTACTTAATCTTACTTCAAACTGGTTAATGGTTATATTTGAAATAAATATCCTCCAACGTTTGGCAAGGGACACCCTGTGTGATGATGAGGATAATCAGCAACAGGGTGTATTTAATACTGAAATTGCAACAACTGTGCAGCAGTGAGCAGTTTAACAATACAAGAATAGGCACTGACCAGTTGTAATGACGCTCTTCCACTTGGTCCACTAGGTCTTAGACCACGAGGCCCAAGTTCAAAGATAGCACCGTCTTCGTACCGTTTTGTCTGTATCCATCCTCCTAACCTCGAAGACGACTCCAGAAGAGTAATGTTCTTTGGATTTATAACCTTCTGCAGCAAACTATAGGCGGCTGACAGCCCTGCTATACCTCCTCCTAGTATTAAAAATTTCCCTCTTTCTGCCATTATTATTAAATTGTATTAACAACAAAGTATGCCAAATTGATGAGCAATCTAACGAAGAAGTAACCCCATAATTTTATGGTTATTCCTGCCACAGGACGAGGACGACGAGCAAAATCAGCGAAACTCAGCTAACGGTATCATGCTCGGTAAATTCAGTAAATCCTTGAACTCAAAAGAACGTTCTTTTGAGTTCATTGTCCTAAATACAGGAATTATCAGTGAGAATCAATGAGGTATTATATCTTAGATTAGGTTTATCCGTTTATGGTTAATTAGCATTAACTCTGATCCGAAATCTAACCTCAAATCCAATCAAATCCTAATCTCGAGGAATAAATTTCAATATAAATTTCTATAAATTTCTGTATTTAAGATTTGTTGAACATGAAAATGAAACTGGGCAGTGGGCCCAAAGTACGGAAGTCCGAAAATGTTCATAGGTGATCGGGGCGATGCGATGGGCACAGACAAACACTTCTGCTCCGAGATACAAAGGTAGAACGGAAGTGTAAGAGGTTGTTTTCGGTTTAACAGTGTTACAAAGATAATTTGACAAGTCAGCTTCTCGTCCTGTCGATAATGGTTAGCCTTGGCCCGTCTAGAGGCCAAAGACAAACAGTGCCTTCAGTAAGTATGGATAAAAAATGAAAATTAACTTTGTTTATATCAGTCGTAACAGAACAACCACGCAAAAAGAACCTTGAAGTTGGTGCCCTCCCAAGCAAATTGCTAGAAATGTTATCTGCCATTTAATGCAATCAGTTACATGTTTGCAGTCAATATGAATTATGAAGCATACTATATTATGCTGAACTAGCTTTTTTGCAATTCTAGCAAGTTGATTTTATAAAGTGCTAATTGTTAGTGCCTACATTACTGAGTTCCTAGCCTTGGTGTTATGTCCTGAATATTGGTTGAAAAGCTGGGAACAACTTCAGAATACCTGCATGGCCAGTGGCCACTAACCATTTTATATTACTATGCATCGAAATTTTCAATCTATAAATGATATTATCTAAAATGAGTAAAAACCGTAGGAATAATTTTGAATAAATCGTATTGTTTTTTTTGCTTCGGATGTGTAGAATGTTCTACAACCATGCAAGAGAATATTTCGTTCATTTTGGAAACGTGTCATATATATATATATATATATATATATATATATATATATATATATATATATATATATATATATATATATATATATATATATATATATATATATATATACATATATATATATATATATATATATATATATATATATATATATATATATATATATATATATATACCTATAGGGTACTGGTGTGAGCTAGGGCTTAACCTTGCTTGTACCCATAAGGTGAATTTTAAAAAGTTAATCGCTTTGTTTGACCGGGCATAAAAATGTTGTTAACCATACAACCAATAATATGAATGACTAGTTAGCAGTAGTCCAATTTCCAGTTTATAACAGACAGAGAACATAAAAGATGTGTGATTGAAAGAAATTAAATCAATTTTATTCATTTTATGTAGGATATTCCCTTTAGATCTTAGAGCTAGGCAAGCAGAAGTTAGACAACTTCATTAAACATTTATATAAGAGTTCTTGTGAGATCAACTACCAAAACTACTGCTACAGGCTCTCAAGGTTTAATCTAACTGTAAGAATCTAGTTTCTTTATGAGTCAATTATAAGTCCACATAATTTTTGGATCCTTTACAGCCATTGCAATAAGACCAATACTCATTGCCTTTTCAAAAATAAATCCTTAAAATTTAATTTCAATAATATTAATATATGTCATCCACTGTTTTATTCAATAGGGATTTGCTTTCCAGCACACAAGTGACAGGGAATCTGTCCGTAGTGAAGATGTTGATTTGCTTACCGAAAGCAATTATATTATTTCTTCACATAATAGATGTCATGTCATGTGTTTGTTTCTACCATGGATTGCTGGCTTTGAAGCTCTGTTATTGGTATGTTTATTTTTCTCAATCAATAAGTGAGCAATTCAGTTAGGCAGGAAATATTCCAGATGCAATGATAGCAATGCAACTTGTGCTGTAATACATACTGATTTGTGCAGTGATAAAATCATTTATTATTTTATGAATTTCGGATTGGCCTTTAAGCATACAACAACAACCATCCTTTACAAATTCACCAAAAAGCTGAACAGGCAAAAAAATTACTTTTAAATTTCAATAATCCTACCTAGGGAATGCAATTTTATAGGAGGTATAATGACATGTGAAATCAATTATACATTTTCAAATTGTGATTTACAGAATCAGCAAATGACATGCAGCATATCATAAACTATAAATTAACTCACTGTGATTACTTTGATTCAATTTCTAGTTGAATCCACTGAGCTGTGTCATGTATGTCACACAAGTTTACATGAAACCCATGAATAGTATGCACACACGCAGTCTCATTTCGGAAACCTGGGTCTTGTTCACTAGACTATATTATTGAGTATTGCACTCTTGTCTCAATGACCATCATTTATGCAATTACAAGCAGTGAACCCAAGTTTACAAGCATGCACTTCCCATCAGTTAATTGTTCCAAAGGCCATTTAATTCCATTGTGACAAGTTTGCTGTGCTGCGTAACAATCAGGAAATTAGACAGGGTAGTGAGGGTGAGTTTCACACTGTGACACCTGCTATAAAATATCTTGAATTTTATTATTAGGTGGCATATGAAGTCTTTGTTTTCGTCTTCGCAAATGTTTTGGAACTGAGTGAGGCTTGGAGGAAAAGATCCACCATTCTGTTTTCTTGCTCTGTTGCATGTGCTACTTTGGCTTGTAGTAATGACCATTCACTTCCTGCTCTATCTTCAACACAATCATCTTTTTCTTCATGGCTACTTGCAGTTTTGTCATACAACAAAAAACCTAAGACTAGTGCCACCACTGGTTTTAGCTTTTGGTAATGATCTTTTATAGCTGCATTACTTTGTCTATGTATTTCTTGGCCTAAGAACAGTTAACTTTAGCGGGGGGAATATTAGCTATACGGGATAGTATGCGAGAACTTGGACCGTGTTCAGTTAAACTGATTAGGTTAGCGGTTTTACTTGACATTTTAGACGATTCGAATCAATAAGTGTTAGAATCGTATTATAGGGTATAGGCCTAATTGGCAAAACAGTACACCTATATGTGTACAAAATTGAAAAATCGTATAAATATATGTGCACTTTTCATAGATCATATCTTTGAGAGCAATAAAAACTTAAAACCGTTAACCGGCTACGAAAATCATACTACTCGGCATAACTCGCCTAAATGTTTTATATTATCACATTTTTGCGATCTCTACACCGTTGGTAACTGTTACACAAATAAAATGCCATCATACAGTTTCAGGTTTTGCCCGGCCGTTTTTTTATGACCGTGGTAATGGAATTGCTGTAAGAAGTTTAGAAAATTTTAATAGTTTGGCGATAGGTGTACATTTGTAGTTTTACTGAATTACTGTACACAGTGGAAGCAATGCAGCCTGATGATATACTAACTGTACAAAATCTTGTTGCATGAAAGATGCCTTCGTATCAAATTTTTACATCTCGATTCTAATAAGAAGCAACCATATCACGGCATAAGATATTTCTGAAGTTTCTTCAACTTCCAATTTCTGTACGAAGGAGTAATGTTAACAACCATCTAAATGGTTCACCCTTCGGCTTAGACTACGCTTTTTCGATCTTGTCTTCCGGTGTAAATTTCAAAGTGCTCACATACCTTTATCATATTGTAAAATGTTCATTTCTATATCATCTGATTATTAACCATTCTCTTTTCTCGTTTTAGGAAATGCGATTTTCTTGGTGTTCTTTTCAATAATGGATCATGCTTGGGCTCAAACAACTTTCCGCTATTATTATTTTCTGCAAATTGTTTACTCGTTGGAGTTTCTTGTTGTTTTTCCATTGGTAATTTATTACATAGGTAAATTATGGAGCTGTTTTTTAAGAATTTTTATATCAGGCGTATCAACTATTGCATACAAGGCGATTGGTGATTTGGATAGAGCATTGTATAGCGCATTGTCAATCTGCTACTACAAACCTATGACAATGTATGATCTAAAATTAGAGACATCAAAAAACATAAAAACTCCAATATCTATTAAGTATATTGTAAAAGTGTGAAGTTTGAACATCTCAAAGTGTTGAGCCCCTGAATTTTTGAAAATAGATATGTTATTTACCAGATTGGAGGTCCGTATAGGGAAATATTTCCCAAGGTTTCAAAAACAGGCGAAGGCCGAGGGACGTTTTTGAGACGGAGGGAAATATTTCCTATACGGACCGACTAAACTGGTAAATAATTACTCGTAAATAAATAGTCAAGATGCCATTCATTTAAAGTCCCGTCAAAATTGTTTTTCTATTCACATTCTATATGCGCGTCCATTGTTAAACATGCAGCACGGGCTGTGCTGCTTTCTAACTGTCTCGTCTCCAAAAGATGGGGTGTTTGGCTTATACCAGCGTTTAACATGATTCCACAGTAGAAAGAATTATCACGATGCCTCTCAACTTCAATGGATCCTTACTTTTCACTGCATAGCTTTTGCGAGTGCTTTAACCTTAACAATAACTGTATGCGTAATTGGACGGGTCCCAGCCCTTCAGGGGCAGGTTCTACGAAGGCTGGATGGCCCTATCCACCAGATAGTGGTTTTCACTTTCTTTAAAATCGCCTGTTGTTGGGTATAACTTTGATTAAATCTTAGTATTCCTAAATTGAGGATTCTCTTCAATAATTTTTCGTTCTAAAGCTGAAATTTTATTGCTTTCAAGCAAATTTAACGGTTGAAAAAATCGCTATCCAGCCTTCGTGCAACTGTCTTCTGAGTCATAGATGATAGATCGACTGAACCGAATGTATGAATATAAAATACATTGATTTTTTTCTATCTTTTAGTAAAAGTGTTGAAATTTCAACGAGAGGGAAGCATGCCTGACTGTTACATGGCTGCAGAAAACAATTTTCAAATGGAAGTTGAGGGAGAAGTTGGTTACAGGTGTGTCCTAAAAACATGTTTACAGAACAAGACCAGTGCGCCACCCATGCATAACTGACTAATCAGTATTCATGTCCCATGCCATGACATGTGTGCATGGGTTAGCTTTTTCAAATTCGTTTGAAGTTGTCTGAATCGTCACAGTAATAAATTTTTAATTAATATTTTTCCAGCGATGGCGTATGGCCAAATGATGTTCTGGAAAAGCAAGCTGATATGATTCGATATTTAAGACAGCATAACGAAAACCTATCTAGACGGCTTCTAGGGCAAAGACATGCTGAATGCTGAGTGAGTGATCATGGTAACATCTAGCAGGGCTGGCCGGATTAGCCATTGAAGCAAACTCCTGCATTCATATAAATTATCGATAATATAGGTTATATCAATAGCTTGTGGAATGATATTGGTAAATTATCTAGTTCAAAGTATATATTTGAACGGCATTAGCCTAAAATGTACGTGCCGGCGGATATTAAAGAAATACTTTCTGTGTCGGACATACGTTAAAAAATTGCACGTACGCGTTAAGCCAGTGACAATGTAAAAGAAGAAAGGTGACAGTTTCGGCAAATTAATTTAGCCAAAAGATCGAATGCTAATTCAGACTTTACACCTGGGTCGCACCCAACAGTACTTAGGTGGAACTTGGCTGAATGTCGTTTTTCTTGCCAGTGTTTTCCAGGGGGTCGACCAGCAGTCAAAAAACTTTGAATAACATTAAACTTTATCATGCCAGGCAAGAGTAAAAAAGAGTTGTATAGATGTGACCATATTTACAAGCACCAGACACATCCAATGATGAAAAATGAACCATTTTTATAAACACGATAACTAGCCAGGTTTTAACGCTAGAACGATGGAATTGCATTTATTTAGTAAATATTTTTGCTTCGAAGCAGAACCTACAATAAATAAAACGCTTGCAGTATTCATTTTTTTGCAGGATATAAATAAAAAAGTTTAACGATATTGCCAATGTTTACTGATTTTGAAAAAAAAATGGTTTTGAATATATATTCATCATACATTATTAAAAACAATAGAGATCGATTAGGGAGACATTTAAGATTGTATCCTTAGAACTATTTAAAACAGGATAAAATGTGTATTTTCAGTGTACTGGACCACCTTATCTTACTTAGGAAAAATTTGGGAGACAAGATCGTTCGTGCACGTAAGGGAAACTCCTCTACTCATCAACATAGGAACAATTGATATATATATTTATTGTTACCCTCAATTCTTGGAAGTGGAGTTCAATTTCCTAACTTAGACCCCGTTTACAATAACACCGCGGAAAAATGTCTGCGCACGCGCTGAAATATCAAAATATGATGGTAAATCTAATTATCAACTTTTGGAACAAAACATGCCCATTATTTGATAAAATATAAGTTAAGAAAAGGCAAAAATATACAAGACGGCCAGACAGAACATAATTAAAGCCTTCTAGCATTTAGAGTATCGAACGAACTGGAATTCACGGTAAATTTTCCTTCTTTTTCGGGGTGGCTTTAGAGTATTTTTCGAAAACAAAAGTTTAAACCTAAAAGTTAAGAAAACCCGCGGAAAGTTAAGCTTTCTAATCTATTTAAATTGTAAAATACATCTTAATTTTCAATCATTGAGAACACGCAAACGTCTCGTATCTGGCGACATATTTTTTTTTAATAAAACGTGTCTCAATTAAGAGTTCGGAAACTGTCGTTGCTTATTTGATAAACAAAATTTTTGAGACGAAAAATTTGTTAACAGTCACCTTTTACAGGTGTTTTTGTAGGATGCCACTTCTAGGACTCTCTGGACGTTTTTTCTCTTAGTTTCTATACTGCAGTGTTTATTTATGCCCTCGAAATATGGATTTGAAAACACGAATGAAATCACTCCTTTTTGCCGCCATTTTTAGCCTTCGGAAACGTTCGGAACCGCTTTTTAATTATTTTTAATCTCACTTACAGACAGAGTTGACGCGTGCGCAGACGTTTTTCCGCGGTGTTGTTTACAATATACCGGATTCACATGGTCACGACATCAGTTTAAGTTGTATACGGTATCTCTGCCCTAGAACTTTTTCGTTTTGCAGAACATGTTGAAGCAACCATGCTTTGTGGAATACATGCAACACGCATTGTAAACTGGGTCTTAGAAACAAAAAATATTCGTATCATTGCTACACACTCACCTGTATCCCAAAATACAACTCTACCTTGGTATAGATGTTTGAATTACTGTTATTAAAAAGAAATCTATTTTTCATCATACAAAAAGTTAAAAAGACCTGTTTAAGATAGGTTTAGTGCTCAACCAATAATAGGAATTAGGATAGACTTATGGTAAGTCAACTTGTACACATGCAGACCATTAGGCGATAGTGTTCCCACACTTCAGGGGTAGTGGAGGCGAAATCACAGAGAGTGGTCATAAAGTATATGCTGTCCAGGGACATGGGGATATCGATTATATGTTTCGATTATAATCCATATCACATAAAAAAACACTTTCTTTAAGCAATATAATTTGCTTCACACCCCACCCTGATTAGCATGCGAATTTTCATACCCTATTCCAAATTATATCTCCCTTCCCGGCTAACACCACATGCTTTATGACCACTCCCTTAGAATACTCTAATGTCTGTCTTTTAAAACGTCATACACATGCATCCAGAGTAACGTACACATATATGATTAGCATGCGAATTTTCATACCCTATTCCAAATTATATCTCCCTTCCCGGCTAACACCACGTGCTTTATGACCACTCCCTTAGAATACTCTAATGTCTGTCTTTTAAAACGTCATACACATGCATCCAGAGTAACGCACACATATATGCATGGTACATCAATTTCGTACGAGGAACGTTGGAAAAACATTTTCGAATAGTCAAGATGCAATTCGAGTTGTCATCGTGACTGCATTTGGGACATCAGTTGTTCATCTTGAGCCGACATTGCAGTTAGTTTCTTTCCAATTCTTTCATGAATCTCTAGATACTTTGCAACACATCGATCTAAACATACTGACTCTCCCTTCGTTAGTTCACCTTCCTTATACTTCGGTGAGATGCATTTCTTTTGACAAGCAGATGTCAACCTACAGAAAATTAAACTAAACGTTACTCCACTTAAACATCCGGATAACATTCGGATAGCAGACCTAGACTTCGAGCACTGTTTACCGGCCTGTAGTCAAATCGTTCCTCCTTTTTCCTGTTTTGCACCTCGAACCAAGAGTCACGCAGCGAAAAGACCGATTAAGGCCAGGGGTTGACAAAATAATCGTGTCATTAAAATTTGTGCAATCAACTTTTCTAGTTTTACAGGTTCTTAGACAAATCAAAGTACATTTACGTATATTAAAAAATTACATAGACCGAACTTTCACCAGCCAATCTGCCGTGTAAAAAGCCATGGTACTGCAGTGTAAAAAGCAGGTACAGGTAACTGCAGTGTAAAAAGCCATTTAACTGAACCTCCCCCCTTGATTACTTTTCCACCTCGTAATTTTTTTAATTAAAATTCGGCAATCACATCGTGTTGACGACTTCTCACGAGTGTGCTGTGTTAACTACACTAGATAACATTTCCCATTGTACTGTACTCCGCTAGTCGATAAGTTTTTCCGCTCACAGAGATGGCTTTCTTCCTATGTAAAAACGAAAGTGGACCTGCAACTTCACATGGTTATCAAGACACAAACTTAGAAATAAAGAAAAGCTTTTATTTAGCAAGACATGATGAAAGGCTTTCAGATTCTCTACTTATGGAATAGGGAATAGTAGCGAGAAGAAACAAACAAGCAGTCCAACCAGTGAACATTTATAACTCACGAAAAAATTTGCATGCAGAAGCACTAGGTACCTCTTCACAAGAGCTTTATGGTTATATTGCAGTTTATACTCATGGGTTCTGTTAGCTGCACGAATAAATTGATCTGCCACTGCCAGCAAGTCTTCTATGTGCACAAAACTTGATTATAACATTCGTTCAACAACCATGCTTGTCCATGATCGAAAATATGAATATCTCCATAGACATAGCCAATTTTTTATGAGTTTGAAACAAATCTTTTTGTGGTTAACAAACTGAGAACGTCGAAAGCTAGAAATATACTTTTCAGCTTAAATATTCTACAAGTCCTTGACATTTTAGGAAATATACGGACTCAAGGATACAAAGGCCAAAGCGTTTGTTTACATTACGGACTGTACCCCACCTTTAATAGATATTTCACTTAAACATGCCTGACAATATGAGCACTCTGAAATTCGCAAAACAGAATGGTTCGAATTACCGCGCTTGGTCCTTCAACATGCGTTTGTATTTGGAAAGTCGTGTCTTATTTGGACTTACAGATGGCACTGCTAAAACTCCAACGGAAGACGCTGAAGCAGAAGTGCGCCGAAATTTTGTTTTAGGAAATGGGATAAGGACTTTTTCTTTTGCCAGGCGAGGCACATTCTTGAGTTTCTTGGGTGTCTCTTTGTACCATATAGGCATTTCCCTGTCTAAATCAAGTTATTCTTACTCTCTATCTTCTAGATAGCCTGCTCGCAGATGCTATGTAACACTTATTTGGGCTTCTTCCCTTTGTATTTGTTCCTCTAAAGCTCAGGATCATTCTGTCACAAGATCTAGCTGTATTTCTCATAATGTTTTGAAATTATAGAAAGAGCTACACTCTACATTTCCATTCCACTGGAAATGGTTGTGATCCAATCTTATTAGGATATTCAAATGTCGACTGGGCAGGACTCCACATCAGGATATATATACCAACTTCACAACAACACTATGAGTTGGAGAAGTAAAAAACTTTCAATACAAGAAATTTGTATTGAATTGAATAATTGAATTATCACATAATCCTAAACTACATAATCACACCAAGCACACATTTCTTATTTCTTATCATTTTATAAGAGAACAAATTAATTTTGGTGTAGTGTCTGTCAAATATTGTTCAACCAAAAGTATGCTAGCTGATAGAATGACCAAAGCCCTACCAAGAAACTCTTTTGAGAAATTTAGAGACATGTTGGATGTTAAGCACACTCAATGAAAATCGGACAGTTTTTACAATTAGATTTTATATATAGTAGACATTTTAATTTAAAAATGTGGTCATTAAGTAGGAATGTTGGGTATTTTATATAACATAATGTCTAATGAACCACATGTGATGTGATTTTGTAACATTTAAAATGGCACCCTTTGTGCATCACATGTTTCGTAGTTGTGTTTAAAATAAAACAACATTATGGGTCGAATTCACTTTTGTTCCGTATTTGATCAAAACTTATAACATGCAATATGACAGAGAATGTGTTTACAATACACATTTTACAAGACTCGCATCCCAATCACAGCTTGTTAAAGAATCTCTTCTAGTCACAAGATTGCCTAGTCAATCAAAGACAATGTTTAAAGGTTTTCAATTATTGGAAGCATTATTGTAAAGTTTAATAAAATCTGTGGAAGAATCTTTTTTAGTCTTAGGCATATTATTTCCTGGATATATATGTTTAAATAGGGAGAAACTGAGCTAGAAATGTACCATGCATCATTCAGGGCATGCACTATCACAAATTAATACACGAAAGTGACGAAAGTATACACACAGTTACAATAATATTTATATATTCTTTTGTACTGGCAAAAGGTCTATTTAAAAATATCTCTAATCTTCCCGAACGCTTTCATGAATTCAGAAGCAACAAGCATGGTGAACCAATTTGGTGTTAATAGATATTTCAGACGATACAGCACATAAATTAATGCGGAGTTTTCATTACAATTAACTTGATGACTTACTTGTTGAATAGGTCAGTCATCATCTCTATTTCTAAGTCCGCCATTAATTGCATATTTTGAGCAGATTTTGGATCCATTTTTAAATTTTAAGACACGTGAAGGATCACACAACGACGATGATCAACATTTAAAAAAAAAACATTCAAAAGGTGTTTT